ACACACACACTGCACACATACACACAACACACACACACACACATACACACTGCAAACACACACACACACACACACACACACACACACATACACACACACACACACACACACAAAGAGAGAGAGAAATACATGCTTACAATAACGTTCAGTGGGATAACAATTATTGTTGGTGAATGTGATTTAGGCGAATAGTCAATAGCGCCTCTCTGAGCAATAGAATCTTCCCCAAAACTCAAAAACATGGCGCTGCATAGTGACACGCAGCAGCGAGCTACTTAAACGTTATACAAAGTTCTATTTGTTCAGTACCTGGTTCTCAGAAATGTGACATCAAAGATTTTGAGTTTCACTGCAAGTCAAGGTTTTGGGAATACAATTTTTTGAGTATCTTGAAGAGGACTCCGAATAATTTTACGATTTTGATAGAGGATATCGAACACTTAGCAACTCAAAATGGCCAAACAATTTTTTTTAGAATGTTCTAATTTTAAGGTAGGGAATTAATTTCATATTTATAAGAATGTCTGTAATAACGCGTATCTCATTTGCCGTTAACGAATGCGCCATCCTTTTACTGTAGATATTGTTCCCTTTGTTACCCTCACCGACACAATTCGATCATTCTGGAGACAGACACAGACTTCGCTTGCCAGGGACAACCCGGGCTGAAAGGGGTTAAACGTCCCAGCGGGAGGACCGGGACACATGATAAATCTTATTTCCACACGCGAATCGAACTCTGGTCACCTGACTGCGATAACAAAGTGTCTAACCACTTTTCAATAGACACCATGATATGACTTAAACTTTATGTTGTAACCATAATTGCACAACAGACATCATCAAAGAGGAGCAAACATTCGTTTTGTGTATTGATAATGAATTTATGTTCTATTGTATCTGTCTATTAACATGTGTGACTTCAGTAAAACACATATCCCAGGAAAACCAACAAAGTGGCACTGGTCGATTCCTCCATTCATCGATTCATTGATTAGTTGATTGATTGATTGATTGATTGATTGATTGATTGGTTGATTGGTTGATTGGTTGATTGGTTGATCGATTGATTTTGTTTTTTTTCTTACACAGAATCCGTGCGGCTTTGAAGATTTCTACTGGTCCTACAGTGAATCCTTTGGAAATTGCTACACGTTCAACTTCCACCTCCACGAGAACGGGACGAAAAGAGAAGTATTACAGTTAAGGAATCCCTCAAACCATTACAGTTAATGAATCTCTCTAACCAATACAGTTATGGAATCTTTCTACTCATTACAGTTAAGGAATCTCTCTAACCAATACAGTTATGGAATCTTTCTACTCATTACAGTAATGGAATCTTTCTACTCATTACAGTTATGGAATCTTTCTACTCATTACAGTTAAGGAATCTCTCTAACCATTACAGTTAAGGAATCTCTCTAACCATTACAGTTAAGGAATCCCTCTACTCATTACAGTTAAGGAATCCCTTTAACCATTACAGTTAAGGAATCTCTCTAACCATTACAGTTAAGGAATCCCTCTACTCATTACAGTAAAGGAATCCCTTTAACCATTACAGTAAAGGAATCCCTCTACTCATTACAGTAAAGGAATCCCTCTAACCATTACAGTTAAGGAATCCCTCTAACCATTACAGTTAAGGAATTCCACTAACCATTACAGTTAAGGAATTCCTCTAACCATTACAGTTAAGGAATTCCTCTAACCATTACAGATAAGGAATCCCTCTAACCCTCTCAGCACCATAAATAGATCAGCAGGTCAGCGAAGCAGAACCAAAATGGCGGTCAGCTGATGACTTCCCCGAACCAAATTATCTCAGTGTTTTTCAGAGTTTCAAGGGATGTAGCAAAGAAATTACCGTTGTTTTCGATCTAAGCGACGTATTTCAATTGAAACCCTGGACGTCAGTATCTAAATTTAGAATGGGATATTCATATCTTTCAGCCCGTACTAAAGGCGGATGGGTCAGGCCGGTAAAAGCCGGAAAAAGTCGCTATGGCAACATGACAGAAATGTCGGTTTAGGCCGATATTTCTCAAAAAGCTCACACAGCTTCAGAACTAGACAGAACATTTTTCATGGTTAAATGATAAATGAATGTGCCACGACATAGCGGAATCAGGTGCTCGTCAATTTTTGGACATATAGAATCGTTAATATCATCAGAAAGTTTGCCCATCTGGCTTGAAGAGAAATCGAGATATTTGCAATTGAAGGAGGCGGGGGTCGCCTGGTATCACAAGTAAAATTAGCGAGCAAATGGTTGCCAAACTTTAGTGACGTTCAAACCTTAAGTGTCTTTGGACACTGCAAATTTACATTAAAGTGTACCTTTGATCAATAAAATCCACTCAGCAATTTTTTTTTTAAAAGGATATAAAAGGTGTTGAGCCAAAAGAAAAGAAGTGTAGGGAAAAATAAAAAATATTGCTCAATTGCGAGAAAAATGCCAATTTCTTTCATTTCATTATTTTGACGAACTTCTAATTTCACCGCGATCCCTAGTAGTATTATTTCAAACCATCATAGACAAATCAAAGGCATGAATTTTGCACGTTTCGTAGTGTACATGATTTAGCCTACCTCCTTAAAATTTCAGACAAAGAAAACAGAATGGAAAAATGTGTATGATTAACGGGGTCATGCCTGTTTTTTAAAAGAAGCCCAGAACAAAGCGTCGTATAAGTGCCGAAGATTGGAGGTGTTACAAGAGAGTAACAAACACAAAAAAGAAGGAGGATAGAAAAGGATGATAGATGTTTGATAGGAAAGAAGAAGAAGCAAACTTCACATGAGCACCCGCCAACCACCCACTCTGGATATTCGACATCGCATGAAGATGCGCTGGTTTGGGACATGACTTCATTGTTCAAACACATTTTACCATTTTGTTTTCTTTATCTGAAAGTTTAAAAGGCATAATTTCTAGAACAATTTCCCTACTGTGAACTTATTTTAACAATGACAATGACAATCTTTGTTCATCTCACGTGGAAGAAATGTGTCTTGGCCGTTCACAATGGCAGTGGATGTCACAAAGGTTAGGTGCACTCACGCATGCACACAACAAGACTGGACATTATAGTAAATAAACTATGTGCTGAGACAACCCCTCTCCGTAAAACACATTCACACACACACACACACACACACACACACACACACACACATACACACACACACACACAAATACACATAAATACATACACGCGCGCACACAAACAAACACACACATACTCACATACATACATGCACACACGCCATTAGGAAGTACGTGTACGTGTACTTATCCTAGTAGATATGGCAAGAAGGATAGAACTAAAAAAATAAGGCAGAGAATACGAGAACGCATTTATCACACATGTACATGGGAGAGTAGAGCATATTAAGTGTGCTGTTCCCTCATTTGAAGGGCGCAGCGTACATGTTACCCCAAGCCCCTTTCCCCCAGCCCATTGAGGGGAACAATTTGTAAACTTCAGATCAGGATTCTGTTCCCAACGCAAGGGTAGGGCAGGCGCCATCAGTTTCAGCCTCTCTGACACACGAGGTTGGAGATGGTCTTTTCCGGCTGTAACTGCTAATCTAATTACGAGCTGTTTCAAGCCTTGGCACTAGAAGCAGAGACTTTATGTGTATTGGTGCATAATAAAAAAGCAACAAACCAACCCTCCCCATTACAAAAACCACAAAACAGAACCCCCCCC